AAAAAACGATTTCCTGGTTTTTAATTGACTAGCTCGTAGACATATACAATTCTTATATTCACATATTTTTTAATAAAATTATACATAAATTATAATACGGACGCAGCATGGGGTACAATTTAATTTGTAATTTAAAAATATAATAAGTTTTTATCTTCTAATTTTAGTTTTACTTTTATTTTAATATTTTTATGAAGAATGGTTAGAAAGAGGAGTTACGAAAACTTTAACTATTTAAGTATATTGGTAGTCTTGTGTTAGACTGTAATCATTGGGCAGACATACTCTTTTAATAAATATACATATTTTTATTAAAATATGTCATAAATATGCATTTTTGTTCAAATAGTATGATGCGTCAACTCGTCTGATGGGTCTCCTCCTAGATCTGGATTGAACCAGTTGAGATGAGCTTCGATATGTTTGAATCGTCTTTGGATCGTCTTCAACACCTGCAAGAACTCAACGCCGGAAGTGTTTCTGGCGTAGAGCCGCCGACACTCAAGTCAGTGCGTGATAGGAAGAAGTGCTCTGCTCAGGGGAGCAGCAGCAACAGGATAATGAAAGTGTGGAGTGTAGAAGTTAGGGTTTAGGGTTACCTTAACCCCTTTTATAGAGGAAAATATCTGTCTGAAATACCCAAAATACCCTAGTCGACCGGCCCGGTTGCCCAGTCTATTTGTATCCTAATCACCTCTTAGTCAGATCCTTCCATCTTATCCAACAAAGATTCATTCTCATTCATCAAGTTAGTTTGTATATCCTGAAGTATATATTCTGAGTTGTCAAACGCCTCAGACCTCGAGACATAAAGAGTCGACCTCGGGGAACACGAGGTCGACCTTATAATTTACATAAGAACATGTTGGGAGGCTCTACCTCAATTTAGACAATTGAAGGAGTCGACTTTAAGCATGTCGATTTGAGGAAGTCGACTTCCCCTACCATGGTGATATGACTTTTAGCGGGTCGACTTGAGTAAGTCGATTCCCCCTATAATGGAGATGCAGGGAGTCGACTTTAAGCATGTCATCTTGTGGATGCCGACTTTCTCAACCTTGGTAGTACGGAAAATCAACCAGAGATGTGTCGGCTTGAGTCGACATGTAGGCTGCTCGACTCGCAATCCGGTCGAGCAGCTAGCACTTAAACCGGTATATCATAATATGGCTATATCATCGTTTAATGGTTAGACTATTTCACACAAGAATTTGTTTTAAATATAAACACAATAACATATTTAGTTGACACTGTTGATCTCCAACAAAGAAATTTAAAATTATGATACTTAATTTTTAAAATTATTTTTATTATAATAAGATTATGGTATTTCTTTATTATTGTATACTTTTATAAATATCCAAAAGGTATGACTATGTATATATATATATATATATATATATATATATATATATATATATTTACACACACAAAATATTTCAAAAATGATAAACAGGGGCTTGTGTCCCAGGCCCTTGTGTAAACAGTAATGCCAAGGAGCCAACTGTTGGCTCCATAACGGAGGAGCCAACTGTTGGCTCCTTGACATTATTGTATATAGTTATACATTAATTTATTTTCAAAAGACATGATTATCCATCTTGAATGAAGATTTCTTCATTCAAGATGTATTTACTACATGTAAATACTAAAAAAGACATGGTTCAAGCCCGACCGGCATGGAAATGGCCCAGAACCGACATCTAATCAATGGGCTCGGAACCGAGCCCGTAATCTGACAGGGTTGGCCTGGAGCAGGCCCTAGAGACGACATGCATATGTTCTATATTTTTTTTTTAATTTTTGGATTGGGCTGGGCCAACCTATGGCGGCCCGCCAATCAGAACCGTTGGATCCTTTCAGATTGAGGAGATAGAGGCAGAAATATGAGAAACGGAAACGACCGACCACGGAGGATAGGCGAATGGATATAGTAGACTCCTGGGATTTCATGCCACATGGAATGCTAGAAGATGCTGCCGAAGGAGAAGTTCTAAGTTAGAGTCTCTATCCGGTAGGATTCACACAATCGAATATTTTTTGTGGAGATCCAACGACTAGATTTTTTTTAAAATTTTTTTTAGTCGATTCCAGTCAGGGTCCGACCTGTCTAGAACTCGTAATGGCCGGCCAATACTCAGTTTTTTTTTTACATCTGACAGTTGGATCTTCTTGACCTTTGAGATCCAACGGTTAAGATCTGACCGACCAATTTGACTCGTCGGGCTGACCCGAACTCGACGGGTCCAGTAATAAAAAAAATAAAAAAGAAATTCAGAATCAGTTGAACTGGCCTAAAATTGGGTTGAATCGGTCCTAAACTGTCAGTTCGATTTACTGGCCCGGAGCCCGTGCATATACTACTTTCAACGTTTAGGTAACTTTTAAACTTTTCAACCAGTCAACAATAAAATCGATTGAAAATTGAACTGCAAAAATGAATTTAATATTACAAAATCTCCAAGAGTTTCAGAAATCAAATAATTCACTTTTATTTCCAAATATTATGAAAAAGTGTGTTCCTTTCCAAATCACCCCTATATAAATATATATATATATTCCCTCGACTTAAACCAACAATACCTTTCCACTTTATCCTTCAATCTTCACCACTTGAGAGAAAGAGATCAGATGGAGGTCTCTCAACAGAGTCTATTAGATGAATTAATTATGGGTCCGAAAATAGAGTCCCCTTTCCCAAATGAACTCCTCCAAAACACTTGGAACTTGACTACTCCTTTTAATGAATTAGTCTCCCCACCACCACTACTAACTAATTCTCTCTTGGAACTCGATCACTTCACCAACACCTATAATAATGACGCTTTTGACCCTTTTCTCGATGCCTTAAGCGCCTCGCCCGATATCTTCGCCTCACCGTGCGACTTTCCCCCAATCGCATTGTTCCACGATGATGACGTCATCTTTGTCAATAATTGCATCACCGACGGCAATGCGGAGAGCTATAGCACGGTAAATTGTCCGGAAGTCGAGATTTGTGTCGGGAAGAAAGGAAAGACTAAAAAGGCAGATGGGCAGCCGTCAAAGAATTTAATGGCCGAAAGGAGACGCCGGAAAAGACTCAACGACAGGCTTTCTATGCTCCGATCTATCGTCCCCAAAATTAGCAAGGTACAACAATTATTTACTATAATCACTGAAATTAATTTAGTTAATTAGAAATTAAATGAATTTTGTAATTACTGCCTATTTTTGGTCCAAAATTATGAGCATTGTTAGTTTGGCACAAAAACAAGAATTCGGAGTATATATATATATATATATATATATTTAAAAAAAAAAAATTCGAAGTACTACTGTAGATGTGTTGGGACTTGTTTGGTAGCTTACTTTTTACATAATAATAATCCAGATGGATAGAACGTCTATACTGGGGGACACGATTGATTACGTGAAGGAGCTTCTGGATAAGATTCAAAAAGCAAGAGACGAGGTTTTGGATGAGGATAGTCAAAATCAGGTCAATATTATCAGAGACTGTCTGAATAAGGAGATTAAGCCGGATAATGATTCTCAAGTCAGAAATCCTCCAAAGGTGTATAGCTCTACCTAATTAATTACTCTAAATGATCTCTAATTAATTAGTATATATATATATATATCCTATATAACAACCAACCTTTTTCCTTTTTAAATTTTCAAATTGTGGTATGATGCTTCCTAACCGTTAGACGTGTAGACCAGTCATACATTTATAACAAAAATGTACACTTATAAGGAATATCTCTTAGGCTATGTTTGGTAAAACAAGCTGATAAGCTAGGCTTATAAGTAATTTTCGCGCTTATACCTTATAGCTTATGACTTATAGCTGAAAAAGATAGCTTATATGATAAAAGTGTTTGGTAAAATTAGTTGATAAGCTCGTTGAAATAAAAATTTCAACGGATTTATTTGAAAAGCTACACAAAGAAGCTTATCAAATAAGCTCGAACTTTTTAAAAACGCTCGTCCTACCAAACAGAGCTTATTTGAAAACAAGGAGCTTATAAGCTAACCAAATAAGCTATAAACTAGTTTATCTGTCTACCAAACATAGCCTTAGTGTTTTCAATTTGGTTGTTTCATTTTACTTGGTTTTTTTTCGAATTTTATTCATGTCATGTGTTTATTTTTGTTTTTATGTGTATTTATTCAGTTTGATGTGGAGAGAAGGAAGCAAGACACAAAATTGGAGATTTGTTGTGCACCAAAGCCAGGGTTATTACTGTCCACACTAGGCACACTAGACGCTTTAGGCCTTGACATTCAGCAATGTGTTATCAGCTGTTTTGCTGATTTTTCTTTGCAGGCTTCTTGTTTGGAGGTAAATTAATTCACCACATTCTTATTTTTATTTTTTATTTTGCTTTAATTGATTTTGCAACTAATAATTCAATTTATTTAGTAATTTATTTATTTCATTTTTGGGGTTACTCTTTTCTCGATTTCAGGTTGCAGAGCATCGAACCCTGGTGAGTCCCGAAGATGTAAAACAGGCATTGTTCAGAAGTGCAGGTTATGGGGGAAGATGCATATAGAGAGTGCAATTTTTTTGCATGGGAAATTTGAAATAAATAATATTAATTACGAATTTCAATTGGAGAATATTATTAATGGACGGCAATGAGACGTGCCTGTCCTTTTTAGAAATTATTATTAGTAATATATTGTTCGTCCTTCTAAGGCGATTTTTAATTTTGTGGAATCAGAATAATAATCAGATAATGATCCCCATATGTGTATGTATTTTGGTACCAATTACAATTATATTCAAACATTCTTAGTCCTACTGACGAGTACATGTTCAAACAAAAAACAAAAAAAAAAAAAAAAATGTANAAAAAAAAAAAAAAAATGTGGAGTGTGACCTATATAGCTTTTTAGGCAATTTTGTACAATAATTGAAGAAAGAAATGTTCTCAGGTAGCAACAATGCTATATATGGAAAGTGAGTAATAATGATAATATAAAATGTTGGGTCCTCAGCATGTATACATGTGCTTGTACAAGCTCAATAAACAGGAGATTGCACAAAAAGGTTGGGTGAGCCGTGATGTTATTGGAAAGGAATGCAAAAATATTTCACGGTTTGAGGCGCATACGGTCGGATTGAAGTTTAAACGATTTTACATTAAATTGCAACTTTAGTCTTGATGATTAATTACAAAAGTTGTGCATTACGTACCGTATAAATCAATTGTTGCAATTTAGGAAAAACATACGTTAGTCATGGAATCAAAAGGATGATGCGGAATAAATATAAGTATTATTATTATTATTATTATTATTATTATTATTATTATTATTATTATTTAGTAGATTTAGGCTTTAGTAGTCTTATTTAAAGACTCCTTTTTTTTGGCGGGGAATTTGATAATAAGAATTAATTGACTCTTGTGAGTTTTATCGAGAGAATATCTCGTTTATCCTCTCCATTCGTACGCTTCCCTACATCAGTTAGTGTCAGCAGTCAGTACGATTCGCGATGCCGCCGGGACGACAAGATGCAGCAAACGAACGACATGACGTAACCTTCAATGATCGGTGTCAACAGATCGACTACCGATTTCAAAAATTGGACGTGCGTTTCACGAATTGGTTGCCGATCTTTCGACGGGGATCGAGGATTTGCATTTGATGCTTAACAAGGTGGTTGTTTCAGAATTGCAGACGAACCGCGATGGGGCGGTGGGCCGTGGTAATTGCGGGGGAGACAGAGGCGGACGTGGGGCAAGCAGCCATGTCGGGGCTCCCCGACAGCGTTCCCCGCTACCTCTGAACGGCAACGACGTTGGCGACTCTACTGGGTCGGCTAACTCGTTTACAGATCGACCACCAGGGCGAGGAGACGACACCCTAGGTCAGCCCCGAGTTCGCGAGCAGCGGCGGGCTGGAGGTGGTTTCGGAAGTGGTGGCGAGCGTGACGATGAGGAAACCCTAGGGGCGGTCCGATTTCGCAGCCAGCGGCGGCCTGAGGAGGGTTTTGATTACCAATATCTGTTCAACCGCGCAGCCCTAGACGGCGATTTCTGGCGAACTGCTTCAGGCTTCAGCCAGCGTCGTGAATTTCACAGACGGGGGCCCGATCGTGAGGGCTCAGCCTTCGCTGGGTTCGAACTGCCACGCTGCCGCTGGGACGACAGGTATGAGGCTGCCGGCTGCGGCGGCGCATGGAGGCGCCTTATTTTGACGAGTTGCATTTTTTCGCTGACGTGGGGAGAAATTTTCGGCGTGCTGAGGCGGGCTGGGGTCGTGTTGGGCACCTCATCGCAGAGGACGCCGGCGACTACCATAGTCGCGCCGTCTGGCCGGACGAACGAACCCCAGACGATATCCGGCCACGCAAACAGTTGAGGCCAGACAGAGGTCATGCAGCGGCCTGGGAATTTGACGGTCGACGCACTGTTGAGGGTTGGCCCGATGGCCTTGGGCGCGATCGATGCTGGACCGACGTCGGAGTTACAGAGGTGCAGCGGGAATGGAGAGAGGGCTGGTATCGCGGTTTGGGCGATGAGCACAAGACATCGAGATTTTTTTTCACAAATTTGGGCCTGTGCAAGGATGGCCCAATTCCATTTATTGGGACCAGGAAAGGGATGGATTTAATCCATATTTTGGGCCTGAACAACCACAAGCAGGCTTTGACTTCGATGAGCCCACAGGCTTTGTCCATCGCCGCGCAACCGCAGGTTTCGACGACCAGCAGGGGCATCGTTGCACGGACTGGAGTTTCGGCGATCCCCCGGAGTTCGAGCCCGACGTGTGTAGTATCTACGACGGTCCGCCCATTTTTGATGAGGAGCATCCGGTGACGAATACATATTTTTGTCGCAATATGGATCCCGCATGGGACATCGCAATTGTTGAGTCTTCGAATGGGAAGCCATCATTCACTCCCGATTTTTTGAGTATTTTGGCCAAAGATGGTTTTTTTGAGCCGAAGCCGAGGCTCAATAACTGGTGGGCTATTTTTCGATTGTCTATCGCGAAGTCTCCCAACAACGGGATGTTTGGCCGTAGTTATGGATTTGAGCGCGACGAACTATGTGGTATGTTTTTTGTTAAGTCAGCTGTGTGGGTTATGCGTATGCAGGAGTGTACATGTGCCTTTGCAGCAGACCAGTACTTGCCCAAGATTATGTCTACCTTCGGGGTTGTTGGGTGACCTTCAATCTTCGTGTTTGATCGGGGGAAGCGTCCAGGCTATTCATGTCATGGGGATGTCTCCAACGGGAACGTGTGAGATTCGAGGGCGAATCCTGATCAACCGGGGGAGAATGATGCAGAATAAATATAAGTATTATTATTATTATTATTATTATTATTATTATTATTATTATTTAGTAGATTAGTGAACAAGTTAGGTTTAGGCTTTAGTAGTCTTATTTAAAGACTCCTTCTTCTTTGTTATTGGCGGGGTGTTTGATTACAAGAATTGATTGACTCTTGTGAGTTTTATCGAGAGAATATCTCGTTTATCCTTTCCATTCGTACGCTTCCCTACATCAAAGAACAAATTAAATATGGAGCCCAAGTGTAAATAAAAAATAAGGAATATTTAATGATACTAATATGCTTTAGTAGGACGAAGATATTATATATATATATATATATAGATATAGATATAGAAAGAATGGATCATATGAGAAAGAGTCATAGTGAAAGAAATAAGAATGAATCATAACCTTTGGATGCGATATATCACATACTTCATCTCGAGGAGACTCCTCGAACGTTCCAACTCAACAATCTAGATGTGGTTAAAGGATCTAGCTTTAGTCAAACACGCGGTGACATTTTTATAAATAAGTGAAGTTTCGATTTTCACGCACGGGGTATTTTTGTATTTGCGTAGAATGCACTGTTGTAATAAAGTGCAATATCACATGCACTAAAGTGCAGTCTATATAACCATATAGTGCAGTCTGTTTAGTGCTATTTTTAATGTGCAATTCCGAACGCGATAAGGTGCAAGGCGATGTACATTAAAGTGCAATGATTAAAGTTTTATTAAATTACAGATTTAACCCATGCACTAAATGGTAATAAAATAAAATTTATAAAATTACAATTTGGTCCCTATAGCTTATCAAATTTTCAAAAAAAAAAAGTACAAAACTATTTTTTCCGCAGGTCCCGCCTTTTTTGGCCGGAGACACCTCTTCCAAGGCTGTCACCCCTTCCACTGGCGCTGGTGGGGTCTCAGGCCGCCAGTTCTCACATGCTTTTCTTTTCTTTTCTTTATTTCTTTATTTATTTTTTATTTCGCCATTAATGGTGGATCTCGAAGCTCCATTTTTCCGATCGATTTCAGCGGTCGGAGGCGGAGCTTTGCCGTGCATATGGTGCAGTTGAGGGACTCGTCGAGAACGTCAGTGGCTGTGAGGATGGCGCCGCCTCCGCCACCTGGACAATGGAGAAGATGGCGTTGAGCTGTTCGGGGAGGAAGGTGGTGAACGCTCGCCGGCGATGGGGACTGAACGGTGGTTGTGGTGGCTCTTCGTCGCCCGCCGGCGGGAATGGGGTGGTCGCCATGTGGATCTTGGAGAACATTGTGTATGTGCTACGGGATGGTGGTGGCTTGATTTTTTTGGAGAGCTTTGTTTATTATGGTCGGCGGTGATATGTTGGCCGGCGAATGCGGTGTTGGCCGTTGGTTGCTGCGTTGGCCAGCGACGGTGCCGGTGAGATCTACTTTCCCAGTCGCAAGTTTTTTCCCGGTCGCAGGTCCTTGCGTGTGTTAGTGTTTGGGTGTGTGTGTGTGAGAGAGAGAGAGAGAGAGAGAGAGAGAGAGAGAGAGATAGTGACGTAATAAATGTGTTGGGTGTGGTGTGAGTGCTAGTGGGGCCCACGATTTTTGTTATGTGATTGAATGTTTAATATTATTGATTTACCCTTAGTGAGTGTTGTAAATTGACATTTTTGTAGCTGTTCGATTGTCCGATCTAATGATTAGGATGTATTCTTATGTCTTTAATTGAGATCTATTCTCACCGGAGCGCGGTCCTATATATATACAT